TAACGGTAAATTACGATAAAAAGACACAACCGAGAAAAATAATTGTCAATATTTTAACGGAAAATTGCGAAAAAGACACAAACAAAAAAAGTAACCGCCAATATTTTACGGAAAATTGCAATAAAAAGAGATAACCGAAAAATAACCGTCAATATTTCAACAAAAAGATGCGATAAAAAACACAACCGTAAAAAAATAACCGTAAATATTTCAACGAAAAGATGCGATAAAAAAACACAATCGAAAAAAAATATCCGTAAATATTTAAACGAAAAGTTGCGATAAAAAGACGCAACCAAAATAACTGTAAAAAAATAACTAATTTAAACGAAAGGTTACGATAAAAAGACGCAACCGTTCAGATGTGCAAATGGTATTTATTAGATTGCTATTATATATAGATTACAATCAAATATTTATGTAATAGATGGTAACAAACATTAGAAGTTTTTCTTAAATTTAAAATATTAATTCAAAATTTTAAAACCTTCTAAACTATTGTTTTGTTGTTCGAATGCTTACAAAGAGTCATAGTACAATCAAATTACGTATATGAAATACACAATCAAGTCTAGTTCTTTGATCTTGCAATCTATTCTAATCTTTCGATCCCTATCTCATTTATCTCGATTTCCTTTCCAGTATAAGTAATGAGAGAGTATTTATAGAAATAACATTTGACTTTTGTTTTGATACAAGGTTTTAGTGTAATTGGAACGATCAAGTAAACCCCTTGTTCAAAAAATCGCTAGGCGTTAATCGGGCGCTCGAGCTGGGCCTAGTGATTAATCGGTTAATCGGAGATTACACGGAAATTAATCGGGATTAGTTTTAGGGTTTTTATCTAGTTTTGTGGGTATATATAAATTATTTGCCAACAAAGAATATAAAGTCGGTTTGGTGTAGTGGTTTCAGCAGTCTAAATGCCCTTGTACGCCTGAGTTTGAGTCCCCAGATCTCGTTTTTGCTCTCTTTTTAACCCTTCTTTTAATGAAGGGTAAAACAGACATTTTATCATCGTCTTCTTCACAGACCTTGACGACTTTCTAAACCTAATAATGGCGGCTGCCCGTTTTTTTATACATTTGCATCATTTTTAACTCATTTTTGTTCATGTTTTTCTCCAAATATGATAGATCTGACATGTATCATAGAATATTTAACCATAAACTACAAAAAATTGTTGTTCTCCGATTTGGACAAATCCCGGCGGTTACCTACCGCCGAGCGCTTAACCGGCGCTTAGGCGGCCGCGGAGGCCGCGTTTTCGAACAAGGAGTAAACCTAGTTATAGGATTCTAATAGATCGAATGTAGTGCATTTTTTTAGAATGTGTGATGTGACATATTGTTATGATAGAATTTATTGATTTTGTGATTGATGTTGCTTCGGTTGGGTGAGCTTCCTTCACAATGCCGATCCGAGGATATTTGATGATGAAAGCAAATTCAAAAATAATGCCCCAAATTTTTTTTTCCGGCCTTTGCGAAGCATTTTTCCAGTCATTAATTGAACCCACTACTTGCTAACAGAATAGGACTTGTTTCTTGATCGAATCATTTGCAGCAAAAGCAAAAGATCTTATCTTTAACTTTCGGGTAAGCTAACCATCGTCTATAAATTCCAGTCCTAATCATTCAACTATTAATCCATTTTATATTAATCTTTCTGAATTCTGATAAAGTGTTAAGTGAGAAAACCTCTAAACTATTCATATGGAAAAATAAAAAGAAACTACAGAGATTGGCAAACTTGATAAGAAAGAAAAGAGAAATAGAAGAAGACATACATGAGTAAAAAACAGAGATTGAAGTTAGAAAATAACTAGTGTAAGAGATTAAAATGGAGAAGAAGCTTAAACTTTTTTATAGGGTTTTGATGGTGATCGACAAAAAGGAAGAATACAACTTGTCACGGGTAGGAAAAATTAAGTTTTTGAGGTTAAATTGTTTAATAACTAATTATTTAATTTTAGTTAATCTAACAAAAGAAAACAGAATACTCATTTAAAAAAAAATTTTAGTGAGAAATAATTTTTTTTAAAAAATCGATATTGAGAAAAAAGATCAAAGGGAGTTTGACATAAGTTGGCATATTACCCTTACCTATAGACTAAATGACATTCTTAAAAATGATGCCCATAAAATTAGATATAAAATCTGCTCCCAGAAACCCTTGCTTGTTGGGTTTCTCTGAGCCGGGCCTGATCCTTTACATAGTTGAGATATACATATCTTTGTATGGATGCATTTAAGGAATGGTTGGTTTCATATAGCTCAAACAATTATTTGTGAGAATTGCATACAAAACTGAGACGCATTTATCGTATATTAGAACTTTTGGAGATATTTTTCAGCATAAATACTTAAAATCTGTACTGACTCAAAACGCAATTAAAAACATAAAAAAAGAAATTTGACATGACAAACAGTTCAAAACGACTACTAAACAAAAGATGAAAAGCACCAAAACACAATATATCACCATTCGTTTCTATATATGAATTGTTACATGTTTTTAATTTTGGATAAAATTACCGTGTAATCAACAAAAGAAAAAGAAAAAAAAAACAAAAAGAGATCTGAGAACTGTACACAAACAAGGGTCTATTTTCGGCGATAACAACAAATAAAATTACAATAGTAGAAAGTGGTCGACAAAATGCTTAACGGTGGTCGACAGAAACAAAAAGAATTGCGAAATGGTAAACTATTTTGAGTGTAATTAATTATGATTTCTATAAGCATTATTATGAAAACTGAGATTAATATATTAGAAAGTGGAGCCCGAAAACCCATTTCGTGGTTCCCAAAATACATGAAAAATAACTATTACGATTTGGCATATTAGACCTTTGCACTGTTTACTAGTATAAAGTTTTTGCCTTTTTCTATAACTGAAAAAGTTGAATCGTATGTATCCCCATCTCTCAATTTGCTTCATAACTAATTCAACTGAATGTTATTCACATTTTTTATTATTATTTTTCATTCTTTATAAATTTAACACAAAATATTTGTTTCATAAAAATACTATGCCTTTAAACATATATTATAGAGGAATCGAAACTAATTAAATTATTAACATAGTACAATTTATTTTTAGAACGGATAATAATTTACCACGGAACAAATTTAGTCTTATATAAAAACAGTTTATGCTTGATATGTGACTGAATTTAGTATACTACGAATTATAAATAAGAAACAAAAATAGATCCAATCTACAAACGGTTTTGTCACCTCTATGCACCACATTCCACATCCATTCCAATCATATATAGTATCTATTTGGATTATTAATATGAAGCAAAAAATTATAATTTACTGAAACCTGCAAACAATAAATTCTGAGACAACAAAACTAAAATGAAAATAAAAAAATAAAAAAGGAAATACATTTATTGTTTGCAGTGTAATAATTATGATTTCTATAAGCATCTATAACTAATTCAACTGAATATTATTCACATTTTATTATTATTATTCATTCGTTATAAATTTAACACAAAATATTTGGGGATCACATAAAAATACTATCCCTTTTAAACATATATTGTAGAGGAATCGAAACGAATTAAATTATGAGAAATTCCTAAAAATAGCCCTAAAACAAGTTTTATTGACAATAATAGCACACACTCCATAAACTTCCAAAAATAGCACTAGTTAACTATTATTAGTGTTTTTGTTCTAAAAATTTTATCACTAGTTTTTTTTTCAATAATACCACAATTTTTATATAAAAGCTATTCAACAAAATAAATTAGAAATAAATTTAAAATATTATATTTGGGTTCTCTATTTCCAATTTAGGGTATATATTTCCACCATTTAAAAGAGATTTTGATTCATTTTAATATTAGTTTATGGTATTATATTTGGGTTCCCTATTTCCAATTTAGGGTATATATTTTCACCATTTAAAAGAGATTTTTATTTTAATATTAGTTTGTGGTATTATATTTGGGTTCCCTATTTCCAAATTAGGGTATATATTTTCACTATTTAAAAACAATTTTGATTCAATTTAATATTAGATTAGTGTTTGCTCTCTTTTTTATTTTCTATCTTATATTTTCATTAACTTAAATTGAAGTTTATGGTGCTATTTGTGCAACGTTTCAAATGATGTGCTATTTTTGGAAAAAAACAACTTTTTTGGGGCTATTTGTGTCAATCTCCCTTAAATTATTAATATAGTACAGTATTTTATTTTTGGAACGGATAATAATTTACCCAAAACAAATTTAGTCTTATATAACAACAGTTTATGGTTGATATGTAACTGAATTTTTTTTGGATTATTAATATGAAGCAGAAATTTATACTCCGTAATTTACTAAAACCTGCAAACAATAAATTCTGAGACAACAAAAATAAAATGAAAATAAAAAAGGAATACATTTATTAATATTTTCCAGAGGTGGAGTGAGAGACTATGAAAATTCAAAACACTCTGTTGTTTCTCTCTCTCCTCTTTCACTCTTCGCCTCTCTTCTCTCGTCACATCAATCCACACTGTGAAGTATCTGTTTTTTTTTTTCTTTTTTAAATTTCTCAAGTTCTCTGCTGCTACTATTGGTCTCTGTCTTCTCTACCCAAATCCCAAATAACAAATCCCAAATCTTTATAATCTAATCTAACCTTACTTCGTCCTGGATTGATTTAACCTTTTCCTGATCTGACCCATTTCTCAAGACTCTCTCTTTCTTCTAAGATTCATTGGTGTTTTAACCTTTTCATCGATTCCAATTCTCAATTGTTGTCTGTTTGAGGAACACAAGACCCCCTCTAGTGTTGTTGGTCGCTTCTAGGGCTAGATCTTCTCGTAATGCAAAAGTTTAGGTTTTTAATCAATTTTTGTGTGTGAACAGTCCGCAGCATTTCTGGGTTTTGGTTCCTGTGGCTGCATTTTGCTGTTAACGTGTTGAATTCTTTGAATTCGGTTGATTTCTCCACAAGGGTCTCTGGAATTAACCCAAATTGGAATGAGCTCATAAGTTAAAGTTGAGATCTTTGTAACCGATAGGTAAAATTGGGTTCATGTTTGATCCCAAGTTCAAGTTTTTTTTTCTATGTTTTACATTATTTGAGGTTGTCTTGTCTTCACAGCTCTGTTCTGTATTATCCTGTGGTGTCCATTTCTGAATGTGGATTAAAAATTGAACTGTCTTAATCTTCATTTAGTTCAGCTAGTAGTTGGGTGAATTATGCAGTTTTTGGTCCGGTTTGTTTTGGTTATCTGCTGTTCTGGAATCAAGATTATATTTTGCTGTATCATGCTAGTTACATTCCAGGAAAGTGATTCAGTGATTGTTATATGTAGATGAATTAAAATGGAGGTTGTTGAGAGGAAACGATCCAGAGGAGGGTTTTTAAATTTATTTGATTGGCATGGAAAATCCCGGAAGAAGCTCTTCTCCGGCAGCAGCTCGGAACTCTCAGGTGTGTTTGTAGTATTGCCTTTGTAATGCTCACAAATAATTAGAAATGTTTAGTTCAGTTCTTGACAAGTCTGTGGCATGTAGAAGGGTCTAGTCTAAGACAATAAGGATTTTGTTATGGTTAAAAAGACTATGCTGTTCTTGTTCTCAAGATTTCTATTATTAACATGTTTTGATTCTTTGATTCATAATGCTATGTATATAAGAAAGTTCATTCTTCTTGTTTTTGTTCCAGAAGAATCAAAGCAGACAAAACAGACTGCTCAAAACCTCTTGAAGTCGAGGGTTTCTCTTGTGAGTTATCTTAATGCTCTTCCCTTGTCTATGTCAGATGGCTCTCATCTTAGTTTAGCGGATGAGAGGAACCAACTTTGTTTGGTGTTGTCTTTTGTACAGATTGAGGTTGATGAGATTGGAAAGAGTTCAAATTACAACCCGAGAAGTGACTCGAGCTGTTGTGCATCTTCTGTTACCAGTGATGATGGACAGGGGACAAGAGCCCCGAGTGTGGTTGCGAGGCTTATGGGTTTAGAGTCTCTACCGGTACCAAATGTCCAGGAACCTCGACTTAATCCCGATCTTGATCCGTTCATCCTCAGATCTTCACGAAACACTAACAGATGGGATGCATATGAGAATCTTGGTTATGTAAATCTCCGTAGTGACTATGATGGTATTTCCTGGGACCATTTGGATTCAAGAACGAATAATGGGCGCAACCAACCGATTGAACGGTTTCAATCTGAGACTTTTCCTCCCAGGTCAGCTAAACCGATATGTGTTACCAACAATAGACACCTGTCTCCTATCCGTAGTCCTGGATTTGTCCCGTCCAGGAACCCTATTTATGTAATGGAAGCGGCTTCAAGAATGATTGAACCAAGTCCTAGGATGGTTGCTAGAACACGGTTTTCGCCATCTAATTCTCCTTCATCAGTTCCTATGAGGATTCAAGATTTAAGAGAGAAATTAGAAGCTGCACAGAAAGTATCTAGCCGTCAAGTCTCTAATGATACCTTCAACCTTAAGTACCCAAGTGGAAAGCACAACGAGAAGAGAACCGCAACATCACTCATGACACCGTCAACTAGTAAGTTCATGGGAAAAAGCAGTTCTGATGGTTTGAAGGGTAAAGTGAAGCCATCTTATGTATCCGCACAAGCAAAGGCCAGTACAACGCCCTTAAGTGTCACCAGAAACTCTGCAAACCAAAAGGAGAAGGCAGAAACTAAAAAATGCGTAGCCAAAAGCCAGAATGGTCTCAGAGGCTCTCCCATTAACTTGGGAAAGAGTAAGCAGAATAACCAGAAACAGAACTGCAGAGACAACCAACCTTCAATGACCTCTGTTTTAAACCAAAAAGGCAGCAAAATAAATAACAAAGTTGTAATCAAGGTTCCAGTGGAAAGTGGATCGATATCAAAGCAGTCAGGTTTAACAACGGCTTCGACGGAAAAGAATACTTCTTTATCTTTGTCACGCAAAAAGAGTCTTCCCCGGAGCAAAAAGGTCCCAAATGGGATGCAAAAATCTGGAATCTCCGATGATAAACGGACCAAAAGAAGTGAAAATTTGATCAAATGTAACATCACCATTGATGGTGGCTTGAACAAAGGCAAAGATGATCGGAAAAAGGAAATGGATGTGATTTCATTCACATTCTCATCCCCCATCAAAGGTTTATCATCTGACTCCCTATCCTCCACTCAAGGAATTGGTCAAGACACAGACTCTCCAGTTAGTTTCAATATGATTGGCGGCGATTCCTTAAATGTTCTGTTGGAGCAAAAGCTCAGAGAGCTGACTTCTAAACTTGAGTCTTCTAGCTGTAGCCTGAACCAAGAAGAGTCTTCAAGTTCCATTTCAAAGGATGAGGTGAACGGGATGGTTTCATTTTCATCAGAATATGAAAAGTCGACCCAAAACGGTCTGGATAAAGTTTTATCGGAGAGTGAATCTGTTTCTGACTGCACCTCATTCTATGACAAACAAAAATTCCAGGTTAGTTCCTTCTTAATGTAGCTAAGAGATGAAGTATCCAATCTATATGGAATTTCTAATTTGTCATATTTTGCATTCTGTAGTTTTAGTACCTTAGCACTGTTTCTACATGTAAATATCAATGCTTTCTAACTAATTATGTTTTGTGTAATTCTTCTGAAAATAAAGATACAAGCAGAAGAGCACGAAGTTAGCAGCATTAGCACTGTGACGGAAGCAGATGATCTCAGAAGCTCCTGCAGCAAGGGTTTCTCAGATTGCAGACAGACCGCAGAATATGGTTCGTTTTCTTAATACTTCACAAGAACATTTTTATTTTCTTTCTCCCACGATTTTAAATTGTGAGTACTACACCGAAAGTCAACATTATTCATCCTGCAAAACTTGAATCCTTAAGATACATGTAATGTGCCAAAACACTGTTTGCATTCAATAAGAACAAGGGGCGTTGTCTAATGGCATAAGCGGAAGCTTGATTTGCATCTACGTTTATCCTGTCTAACGCTTTGGGCTTTACAGGGACAATACAGTCCTCATCAGATCAAGAACTCACCTGGGTTTCAAATGAGTCGCACCAAGCACAAGACGAGTCCGAGCTCTCAGAATCTGTAATAACACTGAGTTACTCAGAAGCCGAAGAAAGGCTTGACTGGGAGCTTGAGTACATATCCGAGATCCTCGGGTCTGACCAACTGATGGTGAAAGAATTTGCTCTGGGGATGGCCACTGACGTATTACCTGCCAGCCTCTTTGATGAAATGGAAGGCCGAGGAGAAGCAACAGCAGCCAAAATCAAGAGAAAGACACTGTTTGATTTTGTCAATAAGTGCTTAGCGCTCAAATGCGAGAGGATGTTTATGGGTAGCTGCAGAGGGCTATTGGGCAAAGGCGGGTTTTTGTTTGAACAAAGAGATTGGTTAGCAGAAGAACTGAACAGAGAGATTCATGGGTTGAAGAAGATGAGAGAGATGATGATGGATGAGCTTGTTGACAAAGAAATGAGCAGTTTCGAAGGGAGGTGGCTTGATTTCGAGAGAGAGACATATGAAGAAGGCATTGACATTGAGGGAGAGATAGTCTCTACATTGGTTGATGATTTAGTTAATGATCTTGTCTCAGGTACTCAAAGAAGAACATTGAGGCAAAGGGAAGGGCTAGTTTCTACTTTAGTTGAGCCTGATCTTCTCTCGGCATTCTAGATGCTTCTGGTGTGTCTTTTTAGAAGCTTCTTCTAACAGTTTCTCTGACATGAGAATTGAGATGAAGTGAAAGTAGCCAATATCGAGGAGCATTTTTCTCACAATGTAATTCACGAGCATTCCTTCTTTTATGTTTCTACTTCTATTGAAAATGCAAATAATATGATCATTTTCCTTCATTCTTTCTGATGAAGTGTGAGCGAATCTAGCAACAGTGAAACTAATACGCTAATATGTTGATGAAATTACAAACACAAAATGAGAAACAACTTTATTTGATGTCTTATGATTTGGCTTTGGTTATATACCAAAATAATAAAATCCAACCACCAATAAATTACCCTAATCATTAAAAAAAAATAAGTTACAGGATAACTTTCTTCATGAAGGAAGAAAATAACGAAAAGAGAATCAAGAATAGTGGTGTTGTTTAAATGGAGACAACAACAGATGACAAAGGTCAAAGTGGTTTCTCTGTCCTCTTAGTCTTCTTGTTTGTCATAGCCAAAGGCAAGCTCGAAGATCTTTCCATAGTCATCCACAAAGTGAACATCAAGCCCTTCTTTCACATTCTCCGCCAGCTCATCAAAGTCTCTCCGGTTTGCCTCCGGAAATATTATTGTTTTAATCTGACTCCGCCTCGCGGCTATAGTTTTCTCCTTCACCTGTAACATTTTTATGTAAGAAACTTGCAGCAAAATTCTGTACAATGTTAAAAAAGGCTCTAATAGAATAGAGTGAGAGAAGTCCGGAGTTACTTACCCCACCGATAGGAAGAATCCTTCCAGTTAGTGTGACTTCTCCGGTCATTGCAAGATCCTTCCTAACGGGTTTCTTCGTGGCAAGTGATAGTAAAGAGGTGATCATGGTGCAGCCTGCACTTGGGCCGTCCTTGGGTGTGGCTCCTGCAGGAACATGGAGATGAAGCTTGGAGTTTGCAAAGAACTGATTCTCTGGTTCTTTCTCTAGCATGATTTTTCTGGCGACTGTGTGAGCAATTTGTGCACTTTCTTTCATCACATCACCGAGCTGACCCGTTATATTGAGGCCACCTTTACCTTCCCCTTCCTCCACAACAGTCGTCTCTATGTACAATGTTGAACCACCCATTGATGTCCAAGCTAGACCCATCACAACTCCTACCGGTGTCTGCTCATAGAGCTTCTCTGCGTGGAATACCGGTTTTCCTACATAATCCGCAAGGTTTGACTCATCAATCATAACCTTTTCAATAGCTATCTTCTCGGTTTGGGCCACTTCCTTTGGTTCTTCAGCAGAGGACACAGGGTTTTCTTCGACAGTATGATTCTCTGGGGATTCGCCAACATCGGCCACAATTTCAGCTTCTTCGGGGTCAACTGCAACTGGAGGCTCTTCGGGAACTGCTCCTTCACGCACTAATTTAAGTGCAATCTACAAAAGAAAAGTAAATGGTATTAGATTTTGAGGGCTTGAGGAAACAATTCGGAGTCTTATAGCAAAACTTACCTTACGGTAAATCTTCTCGATCTGTTTCTGGAGATTCCTAACACCTGCTTCTCTGCAGTAATTTTCTATCAAGGAAAGAAGAGCTGCATCACTCACCTCAACCTGCGAATAGCACGATCAAATTGAGCAAATCTTAGGAATATACTGACAATTACTTCTTTTTAATTTCCCCAGAGTTATAAGAAGAGACAATTGGAGAATAGGATGAAAGTGAGACCTGTTCAGGCTTTACACCACAATCTCCACGTGCAGTTTTTTCCAAATAGTCTCTTGCGATATGAACTTTCTCATCAGTGATATACCCCGCAATAGAAATCACCTCCATTCTGTCTAGCAGAGGATTTGGAATCATGTCTATCACATTTGCTGTGCACACAAATAAAACCTGTAGGGAAATGGATCAGCAATTAAATTCAAACAGCCTAGAATTACATAAGAAAAAATGGTATTCATATCCATCAACTTGTGGACAGAACATCATGAAGAAAAGAAAAATGAAATTTGGTCCTTGATCACATTTAATAACCTTTGATAGATCAATAGTAACATCGAGATAGTGGTCCAGAAAATTTGCGTTTTGCTCTGGATCCAGAAGCTCCAACAAAGCACTGGCTGGGTCACCAGCATGGCCTCTCCCGAGCTGCAGAGGCACAATAAATCAATTTTATTGCAGAGAATTTTGTATTTGGTTATTGAACAGTATTGTATTGATGAATAAAAGAAGCTACCATATGATTACTACCAAGTTCAAGAAGCTAATCCCAAAACTACAAGATCTTACCTTATCAATCTCATCGATTAGTACAAGAGGATTTGCTGTCCCCACACTCTTTAGACACTGCACCATCTTTCCTGGCATGGCGCCAACATATGTTCGACGATGCCCCTAAACATGTTATTACAAGAATGGTTTATCGTCAGTCGCACATGTTTGACTAATATTTGCAAGTAAACCAAAAAAAAAGAGGTATACCTTGATCTCAGCGACATCTGCTAACCCTCCAACAGAGAACCGGAAAAACTTGCGATTAAGAGCACGTGCAATAGAACGACCAATACTAGTTTTGCCTACTCCAGGAGGGCCCGAGAGGCATATGATTTTCCCTGGTGACACATTTACTCAAATTTAAGCAGAGGGGACAAGTTTTTCTTCAACAAGATCAAATCAGAAAAGGGCCACAATTACTGGGTAAGTATCAAACCTTGCGAAGTGCCTCTAAGTCTTCCCACCGCAATAAATTCCAGTATTCTTTCCTTTACGTCAGATAAGCCATAGTGATCCTCGTCAAGAATTTTTTGTGCCCCCACAACATCAAAATTTTCATCACTGCAAATTTAACAAAATAGATTCCTCAAATCAGTGAACACAAAGCAATTACAAATATTGCCATGAGATAAGAGCTCATCCTGTCTCTTTATCAGTCTCTCATACCAAAAGACTTACTGATTTACTTAAACAGATAAAAATATATATATATAATATATCAAGAGTAGAAAACCTGTAATTTCCCCAAGGCAATATGGTCAACCAATCAAGGTAGTTACGCGTCACGTTAAATTCGCTTGAACTCGCCTCTAACAGCTGCAGCTTTGTAAGCTCCTCTTCTATGACTTGTAATACATGTGCTGGAATTTTTTCCTTGTTGGGCTCAATCCTTTCCTTAAACTTTGCTGCAGTAAAGAACAGACTATAAGTTGCAGTTGTCTTACAATTAAGAGTGCACTCCAAACTCATACCAAAGACACTGGCGTCTCATGAATACATTGTGATCCATGAGGCAGTGAAATTATAAATTTCTAAACTGACTACATATAATTGAAGATAGTTTACGTTAGTACTGACCAGAAAGTGCAGATTTGTCATCTGTCTCCACACCAAGCTCCTGCATTGGATCACTTAAATGAATCAAACCAAATATGTATATACTACACAGACATGGTATGTGGATGAAATAGCAAGCATATTTTGTGAGGCGGGCTGAGTAATACCTTCTTTATAGCCTTGAGCTGCTCATTTAGCAAGTACCGACGTTGCTCACCGCTAATTTTTTCTTCAATTGCTTTTGCTATGGTTTCCTATAAAAGGCGCAGAAGATAAGAATCTTATCTCATTCAAACAGTTAGCGGATAAGTAGTCCCTTAGTGGAAAAGACACGCGAATAAGGCAATGAAGTACCTGAATCTTGCTAATTTCCATTTCTTTTTTCATCAATTCCAGCGTCAACCGGAGACGTTTGTGAACCTGTGTCAATAAAAACAGAGTGAGAGATTGACCAAGAATGAAAAATCATACAATTACAACAATAATGAAGCTACTTACATCCAGTTCTTCAAGAACTTCTTGAGCTTGATGCCTATTTGCACCACATATAGCCGCTCCAAAATCGGCTAATCGTGGATAAGTGAAATCACCTATATGCTACACAAGTTGAAAAACATCTACTAAGATACGTGTACCCTGAGAGACCTTTTTACCAGCACAGGTGAAAATTATGAAGAGAACATGCCTGGGTATATGTTTGAACGTGATCTCTCCATAGTGAACTTGTCTTTAGTACATCCCTAAGAGTTGAAATAACTTCAAAAGATGTTGCCTTGATGACATCATCGTCCATGTCAAAGGGATTATCCTGCACAGAGAGTAAGAAAAGGTTCCTGATTTCAGAGTTTCAAAAAGGAAAAGGAAAATCAAACAGTAGTCTCATATTATAAGAGGAAAAGTATAGAAGCAGAAATGTACCTTAAGATGATCGACTTTGACGGTAAGTGGTTCTTCACTCACCTGTACGAAGGAAATATTTTTCCCTTAACAAAAAGTGACTTGATAAACCAAAGAACACATGTGAAGATGTACTATCAAGGCTTTGGAACTTTGAAATTCTTTCTTAATTGAAAATTCTACCAAGTATGAACTATGAACGCTGTTACTCTACTGACTTACCATCTCTGTTATGCGAAGTCTCCTATGACCAACAAGGATAACTTGGTCCCCTTGGATACTTGAAATCTGGAAAATCAGTAAGGAAATCATAATGCTGTTCATGATTTTTGATTTAATCACACGGACACCAAACAGATGTTGAAAAGCAGTAGCAGCAACACAATACCTGAGCAAGTGTGCCAACTTCGTGAAGCCGGTTAAGCAACTCTTTCCCTTTCAGCTCATTTATGTTTTTTTCCGCGTCAGTGCTTGAAGATGAATCAGCTGATGGGTCATCCTTTAGAAGGAAAGCTCCTGCATATGGAGCTTGTCGTCTTCTGCTCTCTTGTAAGGCTGCGAGTACTTTAGGATCCTGCACGCCAGAAAAAGCACATGCTGGTCAGAGAAGCAAAACCTAACATCTCCCAAACTATAAAAAATCGTGTCATTGCTACGGTTTGACAGAAATAGTTTTTAGCAATTTTGTACCATGCAGGGAAGATTACACTTTAAGAAACGATGGGGTAAACTATCTAAACCTGTGAATCAAATGCGGCTAAAATTGATCTATATGTCGAAAGCCAACCAGCAGCTATTTCAAAGAAGGTGTCAACTCTGATATGTCTGTTCTCTTCACTTTGATTGTAACTAGGTAATCAATAATGCTGGATCTACTGAGAACCAAAAAATTCATATAATCATCAGTGACTAACACCTGACATGTCAGAGGGTTAATGCCATTACAGTCCCAGCAGGAAAAGACAATCAGAAGCTCTCAGCAAAACAACGCAGAGGAATTATGTCCTAACAGGTAACGAAACCAATATTTGTACTTTTTTTTATCGGCTCTAGTTCTAAGGCTTGATACAGCTCCATTTAGAGAGAATCCCATGAGATCTTGAGGACTAAACAAGGCCAAGTAATTTTGGAGAATGTTTAAAGGCCAGAAAATGATGAATTGACATACCTTAACATAGATTGGCATGTAAAAACCAGGGAAAAGCGGCCTATGTGGCACCGGCAATGCTAAAACCTGCAATTAGACAATTAAAACTCCATCAGGAAGAACATAAATCCGCTGAAATGGAAATGATTAAATGTAAAATGTTCACAAAATCCACTAATTTGCTTGACTATTAACTAGAAACCACCCAATCCAGATTCAAAAATGCTCTAAGCAAAACAAAACCACCATGGAACAGCATACAATACCAGACGCTACAACTTTCTCCACTAACAGAACAACAAAGTGAAAAGCATCTCACAAGCACCATCCACTCAGTCATCACCAAAGTTTACAACTTTGTAATCATCTCAACAAGAATGAGATTCTCCTATACAATTAAATTGCCAACGATCCAATAAAGCATATACAAATGCACCAACAAATTTCGATAGATTTCTCAAACCTTACATTGGGTTTAGAACAAAAAGTCATAATCCTACGCAATTAAACTAACCGTTAAACAATCTTCAGGCCTAGGGTTAGTGGACACAATCGCAGACGACGATTTTGAGTCAGACCCTTCAGAATCAGACTCGACCGCCTTAGCTTCAACCTCAGCCGCCGCCTCTCCATCGGTAGGCTCAGAGCAGAAGAAAGCACGATGACCCAACGAAGCAGATCGCCGATTCCACCCAGTGATCTGACTCAACGCTTTGAACAATGGAGACTCCACTGGAGAAGACCCGACCCTAATTGCCGGAGTCAAATGTTGGACTCGAGAAGCGGACGAAGTGAAGAGCTTTAACATGGTGGGAGAGAAAGAAGATCTGGGGTAATAACAATTTCTGAGATTGAGGTTTATAAAGTTTTGCCTTTTATGCAAGAAACCATTGGAGAGTTCTCGAGAAGAAGCCTGTATACGAAGATTAGTATCAAAGCCCTTCATAAACCCCGACGAAGCAAAACCCCAAATTTAAAGGCAGTGAAAGAGAGACCAACACCATTTTGCCTTCACAACAACAACACGACGTCGTTTTACGTCGGTTTATTGGTTTTTCCGGTTATCCGAAAACCAAACCGGTCCGACCAATTAAAGTTGTGAACTTTGATGATGCGTTTAAAGAGATTTGGAAGAGAATTTGATACAAGAAACTAGAAAGCAATGGTTCTCTAATGATCATAACAACAACAATAACAGAGATTCTTAGCCTAAAGAAACAAGCATTACTTACTAATGAGTACTGACTACTACTGATTCTAGATTACTACGAGAAGCATCGTGATTGGCCCTAGATAAGTTAGTTCTCTACAAATTCAATAACAACAACAAGATTACACACTTTCTACAGAGATTGATATGATCAAGTTAGTTGAATCATCATCTTCCAGCTCCTGCTGCTTTGAGGAAATTGTCAAAAGGACTAGCTGGAGGTAGTCTCATCATGGACCATGAATCCTGCAACATTCCAGATTCTCTCCCATAGATGTTCCCATCTTCTACTACCTGTAACACCGCGTATCAACATGTAAGCCTTGTATAATAAAGGTAAGACCTTTTTCACTCATAAAGTAGGTTAGGGTATGCAAAACAATTGAGCTCCAAATCTTTAAAGGTAAAATATATATACCCAACTCAGCTGTTACGTACCTTCTCAAGTGCAGATGATTCCTCTGATGAATTTCTGTAAAGCCCATTCATCTGGCGGTTCTCGGTAGCCAACCACCTTGAAAGTTTCTGTCTAGTACCGGTCCCAAAGGTTTCACAGCGGTTAGTCATTGTGTCATAAGGAAGCGGTGAAGTAGAGACAGATGACCCAACCACTTGACCAGCGACCTCAAGCGCCTAGACAATAAAATCACAAACCAATCATAAGACAATGCAGATATACATCAGCCAGTTTCTTATTGATGTCGAATGCGGTCTACACTTACAGATTCCATGAGCTGGCCAATGCTGATAACTTGTGGAATAGATGGTGAAGGAGATCCTCTTGGGGGGAAACGCACAGAGAACTCACTCGTCACTTCGTCCTCAGCCATTGAACCTGCAGGTATGTCCTGTGATAAAAGAAACACAAGTGTTTACAGTTCTGAATATTATCAAAATCCGAAAGAATATGGAACTTCAGAGAATAGTTTACCTCATCGAAGGACAGCGATTCCTTAGAGCTACTTTGGTTTGGTTGAGGTTCAACGTTTGGCCGTGATCCAAACATAAAGGCATCATCAGGTGTAAATGGCTCCAAGATTTGCATCTTTACATCAGCTTCCTCAAGCTTAACAAGAGTATATACAAAATCAAATCAGCACAAGAATCACCAGGTTTATACTCTTTTTTATTGATCATTTAAATCTTGGACAATTACACACAAGAGAATCAAACATTGGGGCTTCAGTGCTAATGTTCACTGAGAAACAGAAAATATAAGATTTACCTTTGAAAGCTTCGATAGAACTTTTGCGACAATATCGGTTATAATAGTGTTGGACAGTTCTACTTTGCTTCGCATCTCAAACAGCATTGAAGTAGCCATCTGGCTATCGCTTGAGGACCCAAAATCTTTCATATTTGCCTGTGGTCTCACGTGAAGTTGTAAGTCATCTCCAATGAATAGATAAGGATCCACCTGAAAATTTTGAGCATATAATCAAGTGATACACAATCTCCCTGGATAAAAGTAATAATTGAAACAACACATTGAGAACTCACATCACCAGGAAGTTGGGCCTTCAGCATTTCGCAAATATGAGGAATCTGATATATTTTGGCAGCGAACATCAGCGTACTTGCGGATAAAGCGAGGATTAACCGCTTGCAAACTGAGGGTAATGTGCCTGACAATGAGAAAAGTTTGACTGCACATAAGCGATTTTGAAAAACTTTTACCAGTTTAAGAGAGTAGCATCAATCAGTACCGTTATTAAGGTCCAAAGAAAGATTCCTCAATGAGAAGAGAAGCTGGAAGGCTCGAACAACAAGCCCGTCATCAGGATTCTGTAATTAAAAATAATCATGAGAGGCTTAAGTATAGCACCATGAAAGTAAAGACTTCCTCTATGAAAGAAAAATATTAAGAGAGTCAGGGAAAAGGAGAAACTTTTATGTTGACCTTTAGTCGCAAGGACAGAAGCACCAAGCTGAAAGAATGAGCAATAGCTTCAATGTTTGAAGGTAAGATATCGGGAAGTGCTGATTGTATCCAAAATGCAGATAACAATTGCCCGATTTGATCTTCGGTAAACTTCATCATTGATGGTAACTGCATCACCAGACAGTATCAGACAATTGCATAAACATATGATGGTCCTATAGCACATAACATCCAGTTGTAAGGAAAGAAAAATGTTACCATATCAGCTAGATTGATAAACCCGGTAGTCCTATCAATTATGGAATTCAACTTGTGAAATTTTGGGGACGACTTGTAGTTCTTAAGATCCTCGTGAGAGTTATTGTAACCATTCTTCTCAATCTTGACGCCATCCTTTTCCTTCCTGAGCTTGTCTAATCGAGCAGTGACAGATGTGAACGCAGAGGTTGTATCGCTCCTCCAGTTTCTTGATTCATTAAGATAGCCAGAAGCTCTCACTGATGCAAGTCCAGCCTGAGATTGACCAGAACTTTGCAAGAGAATTACAGAGAATATTTCATGCGCTCCTACACGGGTTTCCACATTTGGATGCAGCATTGCTTTTAGAAGTGCATCAAGAAGTGTGTCAGGGAAGACCTGTATGAAAATTAAGAAGGGGTAAATAAACTGTGAAGATAATGTTAAACACTCAGAAGAAGCAATAAATTTTAGTTCACCTGTTGTGACCGCATAGACGGCGATAATGCTGAAGACATTGCATGAGCAAGTATCAACAGTGATCCAACCGCTGCACGTGAAACAATTCCTGAAGAAGGAAGCCCCTCGACTGAAACAGCCATCATATCAAACAAGGGCTGTGTATCAACAATTCCTTTGGCTATCTCCCGCAGACAATCTTCAATAGAGTTTTGAAGCATCACGTTCAAGTTGAGTTCCTCATCTCCGATTGATCTAGATGTCGCCTGAAAGCTTTTCCTTAGGTGCCGACACAAGTCATTAACAAAACTTATGTCCCTGAGATACGAGCTGGTCCTGATCAGCTTTGCAAGACAACCAGCAACTTGTATGATATAAGCCTTGAGCTCAGGGTCATTGGCAACATGCTTATTGTCAAGATAGCGTACAACAGTCGACAACACCAACTGCTGACTCCCTAATATATAAAGAAACATAAACTATGAGTACACATACATGTCTAGAGAAAAACCAATATTCTAACAAAAAAAAAAGACAAGACATAAAGAAGATACCAGAGGTTTCCATCAAGTATACTGCATCAGACAGAACTATCATGGCCAGGCCATTTGGGGGAGTCCACTGGCGTCTAGAATTAAAATAGCTGAACATAGGATCCAATATTTGCCGCAAAGTTGTGCTTTCTTTAGCCAGGTCAACCATCCTCTGGAGACAAATCTGTGCCCAAACTTTGGGCATCTCAGTCTCTTCTCTAAAACAGTAAACAATTAAGAAAACTGAGAATGAGGGGCCAGACAAATAGAAAAAAAGAAAAGAAATCACAGCAACAATTAGAGGATTAAGTCAGTTACTTAGTCAATAGAGTCGGGTCTTTTCTTGCAGTCCTCGGTCGGACAATCATGTAGCTAGGGCTATTACAAACTGTTGTTCCTCGGCCTTCACATCTAATCACTTCATTTACCCAGTTACAATTTTGCTCTTCTCTGTCTTGATTGGTCTGAACAATCATGTCTGCCTCGTAATTATCAAGAATGGCATGTACAATCTCATCAACAGTAGCAAAGATATGAGAATACTCTCCCATATACCACACCTGAGGAAGAAGCAAACATAAGAAACACTTATTAAAACCGGACAGAAACTTTTAGGAGTAAGATTGACTGAACTTGGAAGATTAAAACTTAAAAGAACTAGTTATAGTACCATCGCTGAAAGGCATTGCAGGCCAGATGCTCTCAGGCACTGCTTTTGATGTTCGTCACCTTCTTCACGAGCCAATGAACAAACTTTGAGCGCAAATTTTTCAATGCTGTGAGTATAAGTTCCATCAACCTGTTCATACCAGATGAAGAGTGACAAATTTCACCTTTTCAACATGGACTAACATGAACTTTATCAATTGTTAAATCATTCAAAGCCTCCAACTTAGGTATGCATTTTACCTGACTGTAAATGAACCTCGTCAATGTTTGGCATCCAAGAATGGTCGGTGTGTCCTGCTTTGAATTGTCAAGTAATTCCGTCACCACATTCAGCAAACTTGTAGCGAAATAAGCCCTTAAATAAGAGAAATAAAAAATAACACGCAAATGTTAGTGATAAGCAAGAATCATCAAAGGAATGCTGCAATAGATATTGCTAGATATTAGAAAGCTTACATCTGATCCTTGCAATGGCAAAGCATTTTGTTGTAAGCCTCAGTGACAATATTGATGAACTTCATCTGTTCAGATCGAAGGTCCTTGTAACACCTCTCTTCAAGAAACTTAGCAATCTGTGACAACCACAAAACACAATATGCTGAACTTACACACACAAGACTCCTTCTCACCAACTAAGAGGTAAGATTCAAAAACCAAAACAATACCTTAGGGATACGGATTGGGTTCTTCGCAGCATACTCGCACAATTTGACAATCTTTCTCTCATTTGGTGCACCATCCTACAGAAAAATCATGAAAGTAAGTTCAATATATACCCAAGCACGTTTTTAAATTCACAAATCAAAACCCATATCGGATGAAACTTTGTCATTTGAAGTTGTTACAGTGAAATAGTTGCTCAGAAGCAAAGATTATACCAAATTCCAAGTGAAAAGTGGAAACTTAAAACAAATGAGCTACAAGGAGACACTTACAGGGGATTTGGGGAAGATCTCACCAAGCAATTTCTTGTAACGCTTGACAGGCTGTCGAGATCTCGACCTGAGAGCAGGACAGCAAACACACATACTCTCGCATGCAGGAAAAACATTCCTCGAGATAAACCCCATTTTTCACTGTAAACACTCACAGAAGAAAGAAGATAGTGTTAGAAAATCAAAAGAAGAAAACATAAAGCTTCAAACTTTTGTAAACCCTAGAGGACCCAAAGTTACTAAACAAAGAAGAGCCCAAAAAATCAGAACTTTCTGAGTGAAAATTAGAAACCAGACCTCATCCATACTTTTTGAAATTCAAAATTCAAACTTTAACATCAAAAACAAAATGTCAGAGGTTCAAACATCAAAAATTAACGAAACAGGGTATGAATCAATGCGTTTGGAGATAGAGGAACAAGATCAAACACAAATGTGAATATACCTATTTCTAAAACAAACCCTAACCTAAAATTTAGCTTAATTTCTACGGTAATCGAGTAAACAGAACACAAGAATCTCAAGAAACCATGAAAGAAACTTAAGAGATGAGAGATTTGAAGAGACATACAGAGCTCCAGAGGACGGATCTGAAGAGAGAAGCGAAGTGAGAAACTGGTTTTGAAAGATTTGATTAATCTAGAAAGAAAGAGAGAGTGTAAAAAGGCGCGTGGATTTGGATACAAACTGCAATTAGAGAGAGAGGATAGAGAGAGCACGTGAGATGTCACAGATTTTAATGTTTTTTTCTTTTCTTTTCTCAATAGAGAAAAAAAGCAGAACTAGCTATATAGTCCTGTCTTGTGTCAGAATGTTCCATCGATTAAAGTCCACAAGCTAAACAATTTGGTTGTTGTCTTGTTCACAACAAAAATTCCCACAATTTTTTTTTTTTTTTTCACTCATCCAATATTGGCTTCAAAGTTATCTCTTTCTTTTTGTTATTGGAAATTGATTTATATTATATTAGAAGAATATTGGGAGGAATACAAACTTAATACGGAGAAAAACAAGATTTTTCCGGTGAATCTCGCATCGGTAGCTAGTTTACAATGAAATAAAGATAATCATATGATTATTTATTGATGTTTAAATTCACAGTAGTGTTGTGAAATTTCCAATTTTCTGTGTTTTTTATGATAAAGTTGTGATTTATACTAAGATGATAAAGTTGTGATTTATACTAAGATGATAAAGTTGTGAAGAATAGATACATTATTAGTTATTATCTTATCAAATTTAACCTAGATCAAATAAAAATGTAACCTAAATCATTTTTTATTTACACTTTAATATTTTAGATTTGTGTATATAAACTAGGAAAAGACCCACGTTGCGTGGACTTAATACTATATTATGGCTGTAAATGGTAACATACAATTGTGGAATTGTTGTGGAATTACTGTGGAATTCCTCAAATGTTACATCATTCATATTTGAAGAATTGGTGAGGAATCTCTGTGGAATTTTTGTTATTTGGTTATAGGGGTCCTACTCCATTCCTTTATTTACTAAATTAATCTAATTTTATTGTTCTTTTTACCAAAAAAAATGTAAAAGTGGGTGAATTATATGGATTTGAATTTTTTTGTATTTTTCTCTATTAGAATTTCTCTTTTAAACATCAACCATAGTAAATTTAGTAAAGAAATCGAAGAAAAGTATTTGGGTAAGCGTTCATCCACGCTTATAGTTCATAGTTTATATATGTTTGCTTTAAACTATATATTTGGATAAAATGATGTGTGCAATTAATTATATCTTAGTATATCAAATTTGAAAAATAATATTAATATTTTTAACAAAAAAAAATAATTACATCCACTCTTATTAGTTAATTTCTAAAATGTATTTCAAAATAATGTACTTTAAAATTATTTTTAAGAAAAACTAAACAAATAATAAATAATTATAATGGCTTATTTTTTTAATATGATAGTTATGTTTAGTAAGCTTATTAAAAATAAAATTTCAAATTAAATATTTGCATATTTTTATTTAACTAATATTATCCACAACAATTATTTCTTTAATTAATATTTTTATAAATTTAATTATATTATTACTTTTAAAAAATTCAGCTAGATTCAGCGGTTACCATTTGAACTTAAAATTATTCAGCTAGATTCAGCAAAAAATCACCAAAATATTCAGTCAGATTCAGCAATTCAGCCCAATTCAGCCGGATTCAGCGGTTACCATTTATGTATATTGTGACATGCATTTAAATATACTTTCATTCTAAAATTCATTATTAATACACTGAAGTGGGTTATTTCTAATTTTGTATGTTAAAAGTTAAATTATATTATTATTAATAATAATAAATTAATATTTTAAAATTTTTATTTATATTAATTAATTTGTTTTTATTTAACTTAAATATTAATTATATGTGACATAAATATAAACATATGTGAAATTAAATTAACATTGTAATTAAACTTTAATGTAAAAAAAAAAATGTTTTGTTGATGTAGACACATTAGATAGAGAGGTAGCTCTTTAATTATATATACTAGATAATAGATTTAAAAAGATTATATAAGACAAAAGAAAAGGAGCTCGAACTAGAAAGAGACACAATATTTGCTTCATAACTTACATGAGAAAGGAAGTTTTTAACAGTACATTGCAAATACAAAACAAAATTTGTCTTGAAAGTCGAAACTCACCATAAAAATATCCCACACAACAAACTATGAAGATGGGTTTTAACATCATTTATGCCAATAGCAAGAAAGTAGAACTTTTTGTATATAATGTAATTTTTTGTATATTTGTTTTTATCATGGATCTCCTGGATGGCCCGTAAGAGAAAGGAAAGACTTATCGCTTATAACTTCTTTTATATTAAATTAGAGAATTTATTTTCATCTTTCTTTGAAATATTAGTTATATATTGACAACATATAAATAGATATATTATTCGAGTATCTTATTATATAAGCTTAGTTGATCAGATGTTGTACGAACCTTGTAGACATCATGTTTAACTATCTTAGTTAATCAAAAGAATCTTACAAATTTAAAGAAAAAGATTAATTCGAAGAGAAGAGAACTAATTACCGAATAAGAACGGTGAGTTTGCTTAAGAACATGCGGTAACACTAAAGGTTATATAGCCGCCATTAAAATTTCTTTGACGGTTAGCGGATACTCAACACCATATAGATCCAGGAACAAACATCCATCACGGATGAAGATGTTTAATCGATGAGGTGATGTATGAAAAAATCTTCATTAGTAGTTAACTCTCCCTTTAGCTAAGTTTAGCCGTCAACTGAACCAGCTGAAAAGGATCAGCAAATCACGGTAATCAGAAACATGGACAACATAACGTTTAAGTAAAAATATTACAAAACGAAAAAAAAAAACATATATTGAACCCACCTATTACTTATTGAAAAGAAACTCAAATAGATATTATTGAAAATTAATTTAAATTATTAAATATATCTAGTTGAAAAAGAAATTGAAATCAAAAATATAAATGTTAAACCCTCACATATTGTTATTTATTTATATGACTTCCTATTTTACACGTGTCAAAATCTAATCGATAGACTTGTCACATGTTACGATTACATGCGTTAGTAACTTTATATAATAAGATATTGGACATTAATTTACATTATTAAATATTTCTAATTGGAAATAGAACTGAAATAAATAATATACTAAATTCTCACATATTTCATTTTATTTATATATTTTTTTTCTGTTACACGTGTCGAAATTTGATCGATAAACTTGACATATGTCACGATCATATTAGTTACTAACTTTGAAAACCAAACTTTATATAATAAGATAAATATATATAAAAAGATAGATAGATATATATATATATATATATATATATATATATATATATATATTTTGTTGTATAATCTTGTGATATGTTTCTGGCTAATAGTACAATGGTTTATGTAATGTAATTTTATAAATCCTTAAGTTAGATAGACATTTATCATACAAAAATCTTAGATATAATCTCCATTTGCTCTAAAATTATGTTGTAAACTTTACACCATAATGAATTCTGAAACAAAAAACACTCTAATTTTTTTATTTTAGAAGCTAACTTATAAAATTTTATAAATGAATGAAAACTCATTAGTTACTGTTTGTCAAACTGGAAAAAGAAAGGGAACAAAAAATAAACCAAAGCTAACCTAACTACGTCCGTAACTTTACGAAGCAAATCAAATACTAAAAATAGGTATTCGTCAAACGCGGAGCAAATCACAAATACTATTATATAAATAGATGGATATCCGTCTGCTCCAGAATACATATATATATATTATAGATAATTATACTTTATATAAATTATAATTTTATTATTCTTATATAAAACAATAATTTCCTAATCATCGAATTAATTATTTGAGCTACTAGTTTTAAAAATTAAAAGAAAAATATATATTTCTGACGGATCGGATATCCGGTAAATATTTGGACTTTAACGAATATCCGAACAGCCGAATATCCGGTCACTAACGAAGCAAATACAAATCGGATAACTAAGTATTCTGATAAAGCGAATCGAATCACAAATACCACCAAAATTCCGGATATCCGCTCCGTACCCATTCCTACTAATTGAGGATCACCATCAACATTAATGGACAGAATCATTGATGACTAGTGTCTCAACTCTCAAGTATAGAGCAAGTTTTCAATCTTTCTCTATTAACTATGACAACGGTAGCTTCTATGAACTCCCTGACACTGTTTCAAGCTCCACCACATATAGAGGAACTAATATCCATTGTGAGCCACTCGTCCCCAAAAAAGTTAAGCTGGCTTTTGAATCTTCTAGGAAACTTTCAGGATGTTGAGCATATTGTTTTGGAGAGTGTAACAGAACATGTAAAAAGTATAAGATCATATAACCAAGGTTTTGGCGAGCTTAATTGTACACTTCAACATGAAGAATTGTTCTCATTTACGAAATCTTCCTGACATGGTCAATTTTAAATCTTTCTAAGTTCTACATCTGTCTGGCTGCTTAGAGCTTGAGGAAATTAAGGGTCTTTCCAAGAAACATGATCAACTTATATTTTTGGTAGAACCACCATGCGAGAAGTGCCACAACTTTTCTCAAAAGTATAGAATTCTTGAATGCTCATGGTTATACGTATCTGAAGTCGGTTTGTTTTTGGACTTTGAGCAGCTTCCAAAGCACCACACTGTCAGTAATTGTTTCAATTTTGTCACAAGTGATCACTGAGAACTTAGAGAAAAGTGTATCAAAACACCATTCTAAGAATTTGAATCTAAAAGGGGAACAAACGGAATAGTTTTCACAGAATGTAATCGAAACTTTAATATGGTTTAATGAAAGAGATAAACAATCTGGGCCGACTCTAATTTGCAAAAGAAAGAAAACACATCAAATCAGAAGTTGAATTTCAGGAGTCGGATCTCATACAAATTCGGCAATCTTGGCCTTGAATTCTTCCAGCAAATCCTCAATGCTTTTCACCGAGTGGGCTGCACTGTCTCTCAAACGAACACTCACCTGAAAATGTGAAAGGTCCAACAAGCAAGTGGTCTTAAATGTGTTCACACAAAACAAAATTAATTAAGCTCGAGAGACTCTAAATAAGGATGGGCCGTCTAACCTGTCCTGTAGCAGCCTCAGTTTCACCCACGACCAGAATGTAGTTGTACTGCGCAAGCTGAGCTTCTCGCACCTACAAACACACCACAGTCATCATCAGTTCATCACTCAAGTCAATCTTAGGAATCACCAGCAAACCAAAGAACAAAACTTGGAACATGAACCGAAATTGTTACCTTTTTATCTATCTTTCTGTCTGTTAAGTCCGCATCGATATAGAACCCAGCATCATGAATTTCCTTTTGCACCTGTTTGAATGAATGTACGAAAAACCAGAGATTAGACGCTAAAAGTAAGTAGATAAGAACCACATGTGCTCACTAAAAGAGTGCAGCAACAGCCACAAACGTAACCTTTTCTGCATATTTCTGAGATTTCTCTGATATAGGACAAACTATGGCCTGGCGCGGACTAAGCCAGAAGGGCCATTTTCCTTTGTAATGCTCCAACAATATGGCAAACATACGTTCCACAGATCCCAACACGGCTCTATGTATCATTACAGGTTTACCCTTCTTCGCTTCATCCTCAGCTGCGTATTCCAAGTTGAAGCGAATCGGAAGTTGAAAATCAAGCTGATTTGAGGCGACAAGAAACATAAAATCAAATCCTGCACTGATAACAGCAAGAGAAATGCATAGACAAGAAAAACTAAAAAGAATTTGGGAGTATAACCTGTAAAGTAGCACACTGGAATTTCCTATTCATTGCATCAGAAACTGTGATGTCTATCTTTGGGCCATAAAATGCACCATCTCCTTCGTTCAACTGCCAAAACAGCACACATTAGAATGAATCCAGACTTTGTGAATAAACTTGAGTATTCAACAACAAGTGCCAATACCACTAACGGCTTTCCAAAAGCTTCTATAGCTTCTTTGAGATCCGCTTCAGCTTTATCCCATGTTTCCAATTCTCCAAGGTACTTCTCTGGCCTCTGAAATTTAAATTAACGTGCAAATAATAGAAACATGTCACGCAAAGACTATAACATTTGGTAGATGCACTGGTGAAGAAATCATCAAATATGGTACCGTTGAAAGTTTTAGCTCATAGGTAAACCCAAAAACTTTGTACACATAGTCAATGAACTCCAACACACCCTGCACTTCTTCCTTAACCTGCAAATATATAACATTACTTATAACCAAAAACTGGGAGACAAGGAGCTCCGACATTGCCAGATAAGAAACATATATCACAAACCTGTTCCGTTGTACAGAAGATGTGTGCATCATCCTGAAAAAAGTATGCGAACCTTATATTAGGTAACAAATATGCATCATGGAAAGGGAAATATGATAATTAAGTAAAGTATAGAAGGATACAAAATGTACCTGCTGGAACCGTCGGACGCGAGTCAACCCACTAAGTGCTCCACTTGCCTCATTGCGGTGTAGCACTCCAAAGTCAGCCAGTCTCATAGGTAACTCTACAGATCAGATCAATATAAGCAAAAAGCTGGTGTCAGTCAAGATAAACGATAGACAATTTCTTCAATAAGATGTATAAAGGGGAAACATTGGCCATATTTTCCTCGGTGATAGGTTACAAATCACAAATTACACTTTGGAGCAAGTCTCCTGTCATTGAAAAAATCAGCACCGAGTAATCCACAAGAGATTTTGGACTTATGGAGTGAACTTTAATTTCTACAACTAATATCATTCATAGATATGTTTTTGATGATATCGAACAGCACAACAGGAACAGAGTCACACCTCTATAAGAGCGAACCCTATGCTGGAATATCAAGCAGTGCCCAGGACAATTCATTGGTTTGAGCCCGAACTCTTGCTTTTCAATCTACATAAAGAACATTCTGATAAGTCATTCATACGTAGAATTTAGCTTAGGGAGCTGCTGCTAAAGTAACAGAGTCAAGGAGACTCTTAAGCTTACATTAAACGTAAACATATTCTCCTTGTAATTATCAGCATGTCCGGATGTTTTCCACAGGTCCATGTTGTACATATTTGGTGTAATGACCTGCCAGTGCAAATTTATTTAGCGATCCCCACTCATCAAGTATATTAAATATGAGATTAGAATAAAGAAAAACCTCTGTGTAACCCCTTTGCCAGTATTGCTTCTTAATGAAGTCCATCAACCTGTTATATACACGAGTGCCGAGTGGAAGGAAGAAAAAACTCCCAGGGCTGAAGCTCAAGGATGGTGAATATATATTAGTATAGTGAAACCCAAAGCGGAAAACACAATATATTAGCAAGGAAGTACCTGAGTTGATGACTAAAGAAGAGTTCCTGCTTTTGGCCCAATAGTCTGTGGTCATACTTTTTGGCTTCTTCTAGAAATTGGAGATATTTCTGTAACGACCAAGTCAAAAATGATAGATATTATGCATACTTATGACACAGCGTAGCTGCCATAATAATTAAGAAATATGAGTACCTTCAGCTGCTTCTGGTCAGGATATGATATCCCATAAACTCTTTGTAAGCTCTCACGTTCTTTGTTACCCCTCCAGTAAGCTGATGAGGCCTGAGAAAAATATTTTGGTCAGCATAATAAAACAAAGTAGAACCTGTAGGGACGTAGCTCCTAGAGATACAGTAGCAAATCACCCTCAAACATTTGAACGCTTTCACAAAGGAAGTGTTTGGTATGTGCGGTCCACGACACAAATCCACCAAAGGGCCACATCTGTAGACAGTAATGGTCTTGTCTGCAGGCAAATCATTGATGATTTCAACCTAGATGATTAACAGCAGTATAATGAGCCCAAACAACAACTTCAAAGAGGAAAGAAATGAATGTAAGGTTAGAGGAGCATAACAAAAATCCAGTGATATTTATACACAGCTTAACCCACCTTAAAATTATTCTCAGAAAACATCTCGAGTGCCTGATCCTTCGTCACTTCAATCCTTTCAAACGGTTGTGCTTCCTGAGATGTAAATAGAAGTGAATCAAACCAATAGAATATATGACCATAAGTTGGGTGACATATATCATTCAATTTTCACTAAAAGGTTTGAGAAAAGAAGATAAAATATTCTAAGAAAGCTTCAAAATAATTGAATCAAAATATCATACTAACGAAGAAACAATACCTTAGCAGCTTTTGCAGCACCTGCTTCGATGTTAGGAAAGTGATTCTCGCTAAGGCCCAATTCACCATAAAATCCATCATAGTAGAAACCCTGCAATAACAAATCCATTACTAACATCAGCAATAGCTCATTGTACAACACTTCATTCAAATACCGAGAACCAGACAAATGGTTTCCTCCTTTCTTTTTCTAATCTAAGAGCCAAGAAACATACAAACAGAGAAAACGAGCTTCACAAATGATCGAACATGATATACAAACAAGTAACAATTAGCACAAACAAGCTCCTCCTACCTCTCCTCTCGTTGTGCACGGTCCTATACACAGCTGACACCCATACTCCTGCTCAAGAGCCTGCACTAAGATCAAACCCACATCCACAGTAAACACATCGTTCGTTCACCACAAGCAAAACTTTCACTAATCAAATAAGATCAAAACTCATTTACCTGACCAAGAATGTGCGCACTAGAATGCCAAAGAGTATCTCGACCTTTATCACTATCAAATTTGAAAAGCTCAAGCTTACAATCACCTTCCAATGGCCTACTCATATCCCAAAGAACATCATCAACAGCCGAAATCAACGCAGAATTTGCCAAACCCTTTGAAATCTGAGCAGCGATATCCATTGGAGTTGTTTCCCATTTCTTTCCCTCTTTCACATTCCCATCTGGTAACGTAATCCTAAACACACACAAAGCCAGAAAATCAAAATCGAAGTCAATCTTCTAAGAAACAAAGTAAAACCTTATAGATACAAATCAAAATGATATATAAGAGCATCGGTATCGTATTTTACTTGATCGGATCGTGTGGAAGAGACTTAAGATTCTCGAGTTGATTCGCTTGGATCTGCTCGAAGAGTCTGATACGTTTGGGGATGACGGCGGAGAGATACGCTTCATCCTTTGGTGCTGCCATTGATGGAACAGTACAAAACGAAGACGCAGACGAAGACGATGAGAGAAATGATAGAGACGAAGACGATGAGAGAAATGATAGAGACGAAGAAGTTGTGTAACGACGAATAGAGCGAGCCGTAAGACGAAGGAGCATCAAACTTCGTTGTCAAAGGTTTATGTTATCTGAGTGAGTCTAGGGTTTTTTTTCCTTCGTCAGGGGTGAAAGAAAACAAAATCGAACCAAACCGACTTAAAATTGGGTGATTCCAATGTTCCGGTTTTCGAAATTGATTAGCCGGTTTAGTTTAGATGGGTAAGTCGGATAAAAGTATTTAAGGTGTCGAAAAATACTATTCGAAATTTTGAGTTTGAATTTATACACAAAGAGTTTTTTTTTTCTTTTACTTTAAATAAAGATTTATACACTGAAAGTGAGACTACTATACAAAATATTTCAATGTAAAAGCTCCAAATCAATTTGAGAGAGGGTCGAAGGAGAAGAGTCGTCTTTGTTCATCAGTGGGATTTCTCAGCAATCTGCAGAATATCAAAGAGGCTGCAACAACTGATAAAAGAGACAGAACCGCAAGAAACCCGAAATGGGAAGCGTCATTTGCCGCTATGGCCACTCCGAGCATCAGCGATTCAGCTAGACTTGCCACTGAGATCTCTGTTGCACCGATGAGATTAGCCTTGGACGATGGAATTCCGGTTTGTAGAATCTGAGCTCCTACAACGCCGTAAGACATGTGACCTAGCCTCGATAATACCTGCATTTGTTTGTTTCCTTTAGTCAACATCAAAACCGTATCTTACTGGTAGAGAGAGTGAAGAAAGAACTTACGATCATGGACAAGAAGAAGAAGAGTGGGCTTTTCTGGGATAGAGAAGAGCTACAATACACAGCAACAGCAACAGCAAGGAGTGAAGCTTGGAAAAACAATCCGACTGCACCCGCCTGCTTTGTTTTAAAACGCAAACGCAATAACATTAATCAGCTTGAACGTAATACAAGCTCAAGATAACAAATGGCGGGAAAACATTTGACCTTTAGAATGCCAACTCGTTTGACCAAGATTGCTGATAAGAAGGTTGCGGCGACGCCCATAACAGCGCATAATCCACTAAAACCACCAATAACTGATGGATTCACACCTGTTGAAAAAGACAGATCAGTGACTAATATGTGGGAGTAATAGCACAAATACTCTCACTCGATTAATTACGGTTTTCATCCAGGCACTAAAGAAAAGTAAGGGACTGAGTTGAAGTAGCATACATCGTTGTGTTAGAAATGCAGTCATCAAGCTGCCTGGGGTGAGGACGATGTTAAAGTAGAGAAGGACATATGCGAGGCTAGCAGGAAGAACTGGCTGTTGAATATATTCTTTCCATCCGAGCTTGATAGTTTCCATGCCAATATCAACTGATGACAAAGCAAATGGTATTTGTGATGTCTACATTCTAAAATCATATAATATGCTTATCCAAGCAGTATAAAGTAAAAGGTTTCCTTACAAATACTGTCGGTATTAGTACTAGGTCCTTCGCCAGAACAGCTGCTCAGGGAGCATTTAGGACGGTCCAGAACTCCAGAGGAGAACTTGTTGGTCAGCCATATAAGAGCTGTCTGAAGAAAACAGATTTCTTCTATTAGAAGTGCAAGATGGTCAGAAGTCCCATATAAACTGAAAAAGCGCAAGTGGAATTGCTTCTAGGATCTGAAGCAGAACAGCATCACTCCAATGTTGATGACAACACATTTATCTAGTAAAAGAACTAATAATGCTGGATGTAGGCTAAGCTCCAATACATATCCAAAACCTAAACGAGAAAGACCGCCTTTTTGATGAAGAAAAAAGAATTCCACACTTGACCCATAAGAAATAGAAATTATTCTATAACACATAGTTCAGCCTCATACAACACAGCAGCTTTTTGTTTCCTTTATCTAGCTTCAAATACCGTACTTTTCAGTCTTGGACGAAAGAAGAATAACCAAAAGTTTATAGGGCATTGCTACTTACCATGGTTGGCAAAGAACCCACCATTAGTGTGGCAGCAAACTTCAAGCATGTCACAGGGTCATATTTGGATAGAAGAATCCCAAATAACATGGTCCCGGCGATCTATTTAAGGTTACAATTATGTCATTTGATGAATTACTGGTGTTCAAAGGGCATAAAGTACATAGATTCCATAGAGAGAATTACTATACCTCGCAAAGCAGATCTATTCGGTGGAGAACAGCATTCGCCTGTGCAAGAGCGATTGGTCTGTTTATGCCCGCCAACTACCAAATGATAAATTAATTACTTCAGTCGGTCTTTCTTCAGAGGAAACATGTATTCTATGGCATCACAAAGAAAGCATACCAATACGACCCAATCACGTTCAATGGCGACTCCAGATGCTATTCCACATAGACTGTCAATGGCCCCTGCGAATAACAATGCAAAAAACCAAGGCTGAAGAAGAATTGATGACGCCGATGTGGAAGGAACTGTGTATGCATGAATAATCATTCCTGCAGATACCACTTGAGCGGCTGCCTGAACATGAAGATATAAATTATGTTAATGACACTTAATTGTGATGTCTGATGATAGAAGTTGAAGGAAAGTAACATGAAGTCATTTGTGATGTTTTAATTCAAAGTTTTAGAAAAGATTACCTGAATGACATTCAGCGAGATATACGTAGGAACTCTCGGACTATAATCCATAAACTTTCCAACCACTGGACCTCCCGCAATTATCGCCAATTTAGTAACAAACCCCATGACTGCCACAGGTAGTAAGCTCGGATGTAGCATTGCAATAGCGGAAGGCCAAGCGAAATTCCAAAGTTGTTCAACCAAATTCCCAACCAAACAACTTGCATATAAGACTGATCAAAACAAGTAAACATCCTCATGTCGGTAAATGCCGACAAAAATGATATAACCATAGCATCTAATACGATGATGAACCAGTAAGAACTCTAACCATATAATCCTTCAGGGTGAGCAGGAGTGGCTGCAATTACAGTCTGCTCCTCCTCAGACAATACCTAAAAACCAAGAACAAGAAACCAAAGATTGATTAGCTCAAGCAACACTGTAGAAACTCTTGATTCTTAACCAAAAAGGGGGAAGAACATACAGGCAATGCTGTTAAAACAGTATCTACGTAAGTACACTCGGTGAGTAAGCTCAGCGATTCAGTAACGGCGATATTGGTATCAAGATGAACAATGGGAATTGTATGATCCTCAATTGGAGTAAGCAAATCCTCGTGAATGTCATCATCAGTAGTGACAAAATCGTGACATACATCAGTGTTTATAATCGAACACCTTGAACTAAAACTGTTTAACCTATCATGAATTAAGAAAAATTGAAATTAGCAAAGCCATAATAATCAAAAATCGTTATAATACATAGTGAAACGAGAATTCGAACCTGCGAGAACATGAAGATGATGAGGTGAGACTTAACCATCTACAAGAAGGGAAGCGATGATAACGAACTCTAGAAAAAGCCACCGGCGATAGAAATCGGCTTCTGTCGACCGGAAAATGAAACAGAAAATCGAAAGACGGTGAATGTCTGACCAAAGCCATGGAAACAACCATTTCAAAAATTGATTCTCCTCTTCTCTTTTCTTCTTCAAGCAATTGTAATTTGTACTATTCGTCTTCTCCAAACTCATGCAGCCTCCAAAAAAAAAGAATCAAACAAACTCGTCTCTCTGGTTTTTTTTTCCCCTTATGGCTTAATCGCCACTTAATTTTCTTTGAAGGGAAAAAAAATCCAGAGAGATTAAAAAAAAAAAAACCTTATCTATGGCGGTTCGTCGCGAAGCACGCCGTTTAAGTGAATAAGCTCAAGTGGGGAAGAAAAGGCACAGAGAGTTTTTGTGTAAGGGAGATTAAGCCACGTAGATTTATTTATAACCAGTAATCCATAGCCATCTGGCTAACCAAATCATCCACACTGAATAATAGTGGTCTATATAGTCCATGGCCATTGCCCATTGGGTCTGATGGTTCGGATAACTTGGGTTTTGTGGCTGATTCGATTATGGAGTAATGAGTAAGTTAAACCGGAGATTAATCGGTTCAGATAGATATAAGTTTGATTTGAATTTTGAACCGAAATTATATCGTTTCGGTATTACGGTAATTGGGAGACTTTTGGGGTTTTCGGTTATTTTGTTTAGTTTTATAAAATTGCGATTCAATGTTCCTAAAAAGAAATTTCGTTTACAAATTATATCGGTTAAGAAAATGAATTTTGAGTAGAAATTATATCGGTTCGATACTATGGTTATTCGGGTCATTCCAGTTTGGGGAAATCCGGTTATTTTTGGTTTAGTTTTTAATAAAAAACTTTTTATTAAGTTGGGTTAAATTTACTAAAATTGATCCAAATTTGTTTTGAATGTGGCTACTTTCGTTATGTTTTCAGTTCAATTTCGATGAGTACTGGATAACAGTAACAATTCGGGTTTCTAAGGTACTATCTGAACCACTTGAAAACCAAAAAAATTTATATTAAGTTCAATCAAATGATTTGGTGTACCAGATTCTAAACGGGAAAACATACATATAGTCAGTTCAGTTTGGCTTGAATAATTTGCCCAAGCCTAGTCTCTTAAGGTAAATGAATTATCTAAGAAAATAAAAAAGTCGTCTTCATAGTTCAAAGACAATAATATTCAACAAGAAAGGAAAAAATACAAATTACATAAAACAACTAGAATCTAACAAAAGAAAAAGTGAATTCCTTATTTAAAAACGAGGAATATTAGACATCCATTGATCTTGGTCAATGAAATTAGAGATAGAGAATTGTTGTTTAGTGTCAAAAGAATGAAGTTTATCACTCCAAGGAACTCTTCCTGAAATATCCGATCCTGCTCCTTTACACTCAACTTCTGCATACGTGAAACTCATCCTAACCCCAAAAAAAAACATCAAAATTTTATTATATAGTTTTCATTCACATATAATTTGATAATGGTCTATATGATATGTTATAGATAGAGATGTACTTACTCGTATTTACCATAGTGCCAAGGGTCCCAACCCTTAGGGTGGACGACGGAAGAGAGATCGGTTTGGATGAAAATGACTCGGCTGAATGGACCATAGGCTCGTCCAAGATAGACACTGGTAGTCCCTGAAACACTACCTCGTAGGAACACGAACCCACTTGGGTCCGAAACACTGCTTCTTCCTTGCGCCGTTATGTACCCAACCGCCACTTCTGATGCCAATGCTCCTGCCGTTGCGTTTATATGACAGTCCTGTCAAACATTGTATACGACTCATGTTTTAGTTAATGTACATGTTTCACATATATAGATCGATCTTAATCTTTGGTGCCTCAAAATCAACTTGTTGACTTATATTAATAAAAACTATTCAGCAAAAAAATCAGTCATCGATCCTAGTCAAGTCACATGTTTAGTTTTGTTATAGAAAAAATAAACATGCTACAAAACTTTAACCAAGTTTGTTTCTATTATTTTGAAATGACTGAAATTTTACTTTTTCTAGAACAAATTGTTGAATTTAGTACAGTTCTAAGAAAGGTCTTTAAAAAGTGTGTTTGTTCTGTGAATGTAATAGTCTTGGTGTAAATAGTGATCAAGTACGGTTCTCGTGTTTACCATTGAAAATCGAAGTGTAATAGAGATATTAAGTATACACATACCTCATAAATAGATTGGCCACTTCCAAAAATGAAATCGATAGCACCTTGGATGTAACAGTTTTTGAAGTGATGTTTGCCATGATTATCCCACACTGTATCTTGTAACCCCACGAAATCGCAGTTGTAAAACGCCGATTTATCGCCATAAACCGAAATCGCAACCGCCGGCTTTATTTTCCAATCCATACCGTTTGCATTCGTCGTTAGACTATTCAAAGGATAATACGTGTTCTGCCACAAAACATATATCATTATATTATTGTTATGTCAAAAATATAGTATATAGTCAAAAGATATGTTTGTGTTCCGTTCCGTTACGTACCATGATTGATAAGTTTCGGACGACAATATGGGGTGGATATGAAGTGAAAGTTGAGCTGACGTCAGTGGCTTCGTGACCATTGTACATGATGGTCGTGACTCTTTGTCCCTCTCCTTCTACTATTATGCATGGTTTGTTATATGGTATTATCACCTTCTCTCTGTTTTATACATTCATTATCATACAAAACTATATGTTAATCTTACAATAAGAAAAATAACAATTGCAACTCCGTTGACGAATTAACGACTCGTTCTTTTAAATAAACTCGATTAATTAGGGTTCTAGAACTCTATGAACCAGAACAACACAAACTCAAGATTTAATGGAAAAAAATGAAAGAATTAATTAGGGTTAATGTTTTGATATCAACAATGCTTTAATTTTCTTTAAAAAAAAAACAAAAACCTAGAAAAATAAAGAATATATATGTAAAATTGTGGAGAGACCTATGAAGTCAAGTGCTACTAGTTCATTGTTTCTACACCAAAAGCAGTAATTTTATACTTTCAAAACAAATCAAACGCTAGAAAATTGTGGTCAAGAACGCTGCGTTTCTAAAATTGGAAAAAGAAAAACAGTAGCGAGTTGGTCTTTACTTACACGTAAACACCTCGTTTTACTTTGATTTTGATCCATAGAGAATTCAATTCACCAACCGAATCAATGGCAGCTTGAACCGTACGGAACTTACCTGAACCGGCTTGGTCGACGACGATTGTGTTCACGACTTTGTTGCCACAAGTCTGATCAAGAGCTGTCAACGATCCAAGACAAGAACTTAGAAGCAAAGCTATGAAGATGAACAAACAAGACATGTTTATCTAACTATGTTTTGCCTGAAAAAAGAACAAGATGATGAAGAAGAAGAAGAATAAGAAGAAGAGGATGCGAAGGAGAATGGAAAGTTATTATAATTATGGTGAGGGTTGAATTATTTAGTTTCCTTAAACAGATTATGGTAATTTTCCTATTAATATAGAATATATTTTTTGGATCTATATAAACTTGCTTGTTATATACCATGGTCAACCGAAAATGTTATCCAATTGATAGAATGTTTTTATTTCTTGAACTTAATTAGGCCTAATCGAATGGCTGACTCTATTTTGTTTTATAGAAACTTTAATTAACAAGATAAAAATGCTTGTGCCTTATGTAAATAAAATCTAAATTTAAGCTAAATATATATATATATATATATATATATATATATATATATATGGATATATCTTATTTGAAAAATAGAAATCTTATTACATGAATTAAAGTTAGATACGTAGATATGTATGGTAAATATGAAAAATATTTGTGTTCGATATCAAAATGGTTAGTTAGTATAATGGAAAATTTTATATTGCATTTTTTATTTAAAATGGAAATTGAACCATAATTGTTTTTGCGTGTACAGATGGTGATTTTGGATATCTAATCTCTGCTATGGAATATTTGTGTCTACAAAAGAATTCAAAATCTTACAATACATGATCGGCTTATCTGGTCAATACCCAGAAAAACGGACCGAAGTGTTACCATGTTGACTCGTCGCCAACACCTAGATGTTGGACTACCATACTGCCTAATCTCGAGTATAGAATGCTTTCTGACTAATGTCTGGGGTATCCAATTAACCTAATCCCAGATACCATGTGAATTGTTTGGGCTAGCGCAGACTTCCTATACAAATATGATTTTTGTTTCCAGGGTGAATCGAATCTGAGTTGGTTCCTTCCAACCTTTCCCTAATTTTTCCTTACCACTAAACCACAACCGTGTGGGCAAGAAAAAAGTATTATCTTTTGATTTATAATAATAGCACCTGATACTTGAAAGCTCAGAATTTTATTACAATGTCGAATTTTTAATGGTAAATTTTGTTTGAAAGATGTTTAGTTATAAAAACTTACTATGCTAGATTTTCCTTGATTTCAAGAACCAAAACTTTGTTGAACTTTCATTAATCAGAGGTTGGAGATGATCAGAATTAGATTGATGTTTTTCCATTTACAAGAGACTTAGCCAAATTGAAAAATTATGAAACCGGCCCTTAAGGATCCAAAAGCGGTTTTGGACTTGTGAGACCAAAACAAACAAGTGCCGTAAGTAGCTTTTGACATATTTCAATTTAGAACCGAGTGTAATCTGAAATAGTCTGGTCTAGTGTTGCTAAGACTGATTTTGGGAAAAGCAACATCTAATTCAGAATTTTCTTGTTGAAATCTTTCCGATGGTATATAAAAAAAATTGAAAAAGTAATATTTTGACTAAGGATTCGTTATAAGTAAATTGATTGGTATTTGTGGTTGTTTACAAGATTTTTGGTTCAAGGTTTAATCCATATGAAAATAAACTCACTTAAAATATTATACAATGGTATAATACTTTTGAAATATTTATGAAAGCTTGAATGGTTATATTAATTTGAATAAATTTAAATTGAATTATTTGATGCATAGAAACCTATCTCAATATAGTTTACTAATTGTTATGATTTGCATTATTGGATTATTTGATTGTGTAGACATTTATATGATTGTAGTATTGCTAAATGTTTTTGAATCAAATTTTTTTTTAAGACCGAATAAACATGTTATTTTAATTTAGTTAGCTCTAGAGAGCAAATATAACGATAACATTGTCAATGGAAGTATTATGTAAATTATTAGTATTTGGTTTTGGCACATCGTTAACCGCCATCCGCCAGCATCACTATCCTTTTTGGGGGCAAAATATTATTTTAATTAATTAAGAAACAACTACAAGATTGCATAGAGAGTGTTTTGCTAACGCATCAGCTTCTCTATTCTTGTCTCGAGGGACAAACTTGAAACAAATTGCATGAAAAGAGAAAGAATAGTTAGGATATCATGTAAAATCCCGTGGAACTCCTTGAATTGAGACTCCAAAGTGATGGTTTTGATCAATTGTTTTGAATCTGAAGTTATGGAGAGTTTTGTGAAACCTAGACCTGAAGCTTGGTTAAAGGCCAGAAGCATCGCCTGTGCCTCTGCCAAAAGTGGTGATCGGATATGGGCTGATGTCGTAGAGGCTTGTCGGTGAAGTCCCGAAGCTCGATTTGTGAATATCTAGCCAAAGCTCCGCCAACATCACTATCCAATATGTATGTTAGTATATGATTCTGATCACCAATTGGTCGGCTTTACCATTACATTATTACATCCAATTAATATAACAAAAGTAAACAAAAATAAACATGAAGTAAAAGTTTAAGACAACACATCTTATTTTCTTAACTGAGATTATTGGTTCATTCAAAAATAATATAAATTTGTATATCCTATATATATATATATGTATGTATACATGTAACAAATATCTAAAATTATCACAAAATTTTAATATATATCAAAATTTAAATTATGTTTCAGTCGATTCTTTATTTGTGATTAACTTATTCTTAAATCCAATTTCTGCTTTTTGAAGTCTTAAGATAAGGAAATTTCATCTTCCATTGTTGTTTATGTAAAATTTTTAAACTACATCATGACATTTTATTCTTTATTTCCCTTTCATATTTTCTCCAACAACAATATAGAGTGAAAATTTATTTATATCTTTTCATGTTTTCCTTCTAAAATTTTAGTTAAAATTTATTCTGTAAAAATACAGAGTACAGTAAGAAAAAATTAGAAATTATATATTATTTTCATATTTTAATATATGTAAAAATACAGAGTACTGTAAAATTATTTTCATATTTTAATAGTTTTCTAATAGTTTATATATTTATTAATTCGTTAAAATTAGAAATTTCATATTCTTATTGTTTTTACAAGTTGACAGAATAAATATTGGTTATTTTCCAATCCCTTTCATGGAAATCTTTGTTAATTCTTATTACTATTATATTTACATAGTTTTCTATATTTTTTGTTGTCCAAATACATCTTAATATTTTGATATATAGTTATTTTTAATATATTACTATCGTCACTTACACTTATGACTTATAAATAAATAAATTTTATTTATAAATGTTTTAGATTATTAGCTGGACTTGAGAAACAAAAGGAATGATTTTATCTACACTAAAAGAAAGATAGTACTTTCCACATAATATATTTTTTACTTTCTAATGATTTTATGAATTGTTATAAATACTACAATGAATACATGATTATAAAACAACTTTTAAGAAATAACTTTCTAAGTAATATTGAATATTTAAAAAATCTAATATCTGGATATAATCAATTTAATATTTATTTTAGTATATGTTATTTTTTCAAATCCTCAAACAGCTTGTGTGTGGACAAAATAATTATAATTCAAATTAAATTTCAAAATTAATTGTAACAATTATTAATAAAATTTTTGTATGCCTTTAACTATATATAAGTATGGTAAACATCCATTGTGAGAAAGATAACTATAATTTAGATGATACATGATAATATCAGTTTTAATTATTATTATTTTTTTTTTGGTAAGCATATCAGTTTTAATTATTTTGTCCATACACATGATGATCAAGGTTTTTTTTGGTAAACATATACAAGGATTTTTTAAAAAAACTAAAAATAATATATTTTTTAAATTTACTATACACATAATATACCTATTATAAGGATATAATATATCAAAAAAATTCAAATATGTAATTTATTAGATTTAAAAAAATAATTCATAGAACCACTAGAAACAGAAAATATATTATGTGGATAGTATTCTCTTTATTTTAGCATTGATATAATCATGATTTATTTTGTACATCTTTTAAAAAAAAACTCCGGCTAATTTAATATTAAAATAATATTAGTTTTTTTGTCAACGATATGATTATTATATGGGTTTTTGAACCAGATAATGACATAATAACTAAATTAGGCTACTTGGCATGGTCACTTTCAAACTAGAGTTAAGATGTAATTTAATCCATATTCACTCATAACAAAAATCTATATAAAGTAAAAAATCTGCATAATTTTTTCTTTCTAAAGTGCATTTTATATTACAGTTTTCATTGTTTCAAGCGAAAATATTCATAAGTTTGTAAATGATATATGTTTAAAAAAAAATCTAGAATGTTGAGAAATGCAATTATGATATAAATATTTACAATTTCTGGCCATGGAACCAGCAGCTGGACAAAACCTCACCAAGGATGGAAGCAATGCAACTATGATGGATCTTTCAACAGAGGTTTCCGTAGCAAAGCTGGCTGCATTGTGCGTGATGACCATGGCTTGTTTGTAAGTGCAGGTCAAGCAAAAGGAATGCTCACGAATAGTGTTCTTGAAAGCGAGTTACAAGCACTAATCATCGCTATGCAGAATTGTTGGAGCCACGGCTATACGAAAGTATGTTTTGAAGGTGATAACAAAGAGGTATCAGACATCATAAACGGGGGAAGATCTCACTTTGGTGTTTTCAATTGGATTAGAGATATTCAGGCCTGGAAAAAAAGATTTCAAGATTGCCGGTTTCAATGGGTCAAAAGGAAGCAGAACAAGCCGGCGAACATTATGGCTAAGAATCGCATATTCGCATCCCTCAAGATTTACAATTCATTTTCTACTCTTAGGTACCTGCTGTAATTACATATGCTTTATAGTTGGATTACTCCTCGATTCAAAATTAATAAGAGTGATGATGTTAAAAAAAAAAACTAGAATGTTGAGAATTTGTGGTTTATGCACAAACACTATATTGAAAAAACATTAACTGAGGTCTTATATGTTTACATTATGCAGTAACCAATTTAAATTCATATTTTAGAAAATTTCAAAAAGAAAAAAAAAATTCAAATTCATATTCGTTCAACTATTATTTGACTTAAAATGACGATGCATAGACTATAAATAGCTTCAGTCAGCTATCTCCCGATGCTTCTGTAACTATCTTTATAAACTCTAAAATATATAGTTACATATCCATTTATCATTAAAGGATATACAACAAAATACTTTCACACAAATAAAAAGTGATTATTCTTAAAACCTAAAATATATAAATAAATAAAAAAAGTCTAGCATAACTTATTCTTACTAGATCTCATTTTGATCATCATTCACTTCCCTCTAAGACAGAGAAACAAAACATGGTAGCCTCAAAATCCCAATACATACCAACCACCATGCCATCCACAAGCCTCCTCCTCTTCACAAATTCTTCGATCCAAGATTTATGCATTGCAAAATTATTTTCGTTCGGATGCTTCCACAGTGTAACTTGATGGATAGTGTTTGTATCGAGATCTTTTACCAATATGTCGGCCCGACAAATCATAAAATTTATGCGAGATATGTCATTTTCTGAAGCATCTCTAAGCATAGTATCCCGAATTTGTTCCATTGGAAGTTGTAACTTACCTATGATTTCATCAATTGTTAGGGTCTTGAGGATTTCCCAAGGGAAAAGAGTTATGGGTCGGATCTCGACCTCTTGAGGAAATAGTGGATAATTAGGATCTCTTGAGTCAGCGTTTTCTTCTTGGTGTTTCGTTTGAAGGAAGGTGTAGAACAATGATTTGATCATGTCTGAAGTTATTAAAAGAGAAAATTTATGATAATTTTGATTGAGAAGAGTTTTGATTGTTATATAAGATGGATCAAAGGCTTGTCCATGCAAAAAAAAAGTTATCTATATTATTTATTGATAACTTTTTTTTTTACTTTTTTTAAAAAAAAAATCTTTTGGGTGAATAGAAAGTTGGATGATTTGGATACCCAATGATAAGAAGAACAAAATTTGTTTGTGAATTGAGAGTTGATATGTTATTATATAGTGGTGGGTAATTTATTGATTTAGGTTTCAATATGTATATTACCAGATTTGAAGTCGAGTGATGATATAGCGACAACACATTATTTTCAAAATATGTAATGTATTATGTGTAAGGAAAAAGGAAATGTTTTTCTCCTATATTTTACAAAATACTTTTTTTATCTAAATATAAAGTATTTTATTATTCCCTTCCATTTTATTTTTATGTTTACACCAATTGTCATGAGTTCACTTGATCCTAATTATGATCATTGATATACTACCCAGCTTGTAGAATGAACTCGAGTAAACAAAATTGGATTATCTAATAGAATCAGGATTGATCCTAATGTGAAGCTTCAAAACGAGTTCATGTTCACGAATTAAAATTACAATCAAAATGAGAATGTTTGACGCTGCAAAAAGGAACGTTGTAAGCAGTGGAGAGAAGTTATTATGCCTTACGGATTCCCACAAGACAGATACATTCAACACTTCAAAAATTACTGCTCCTGGATTTGAATCACAGAGAAAACAAGTACATGAATGCAGAGAAATTGGTACGGTGTTTCAAGTAATTCGCAACATTTCTATGCCTAGATCATTCTGAGAACAACTCATTATTCCACTAGCATAACAAAGTATGAGAGGAACTCACGATTCAATGAGTACAGGAACCAATCACGCCTTTATAGCATCAGCTCTAGGTTTCCATAGACCTAGCCTGTATTTGTGGCTATATTTCAGTATCAATTTCCTCTGCAAAACCAGAAATTCAGAATTGTCAAAACAAGATCGAGTAAAATAAAGATATGAAGAAATTGAGACAACAAATCCAAACATGGTATTGTTCACAAAACCTATTAACAGCAACATGAAAGAAATATATTGTAGTGAGTGACAGGAAGTGTAAACAAGCCGATATTTCCAAGAACAGATAATAGTACTATAGGTACATACATCTCAACTAATCTCTTTGTCTCTAAAAACTTAAAGAGCTCAAACTTTTCCTTCTTCTCTCATTAATCTCTATAGTTACTTCACTAAACAACGTAATGGAATAAATTCAATGGTATTGTTCACAAAACCTATCAACAGTAACACGAAAAGAAACATGTCTTAGTGAGTGACAGGAAGTGTGAACAAGCCTACATTTCATATTTGGATAATAACTAACAAGCTAAACTAAGGTTCCAGGACCAGATAATAGAACGATTGGTACATATATCTCAATCAATCTCTCTGAGCCTAAAAAGTTACAAAACTCAAACTTTTTCTTCTTTTTACCTTAATATCTATAGTTACTTCACTAATGGACCAAATTTTAAGGCAACAGTTTGTTTCATTCCTAACATATTAAAACCTGTGAACCTAAGTAACCCACTTTTCTACAACAAAAATATAACCAAATGCCTATTGAAAACTATGTAACGTACATGTTTGCAAGGGATACCGAACTTCTTGAGTCTAAGCGTACGAGTCACGAGCAGCTTCGGAAGATCGCCTAACTCGGTTTCAAGTTTAGCAATATGAGTCTCAACTCCTCCACCAATCCCACTCAAAAACTCAGGAATTCCAACTTTCACTACAAAAACATCACAAAAGAGAAATCAAAAACCATTCACAATTAACATCAATGACTGTTAAATGATCCACACATCTCTATAGCTAGTCTTTTCCAAATACTTGCAAACTTCAAATATCATAACGATCACTGGAAAATGAATCTAATCAGAGTAGAATTACTCATCAATCATGAACCTCCACACACATGAAACTTCCAAGATCTCTAAGGTAACGAATCAGCCAATACATCGCAAATTTTGCATCCACATTTCTCCGAAGCAAAATCCGAACAAATAAAAAACATTTACCGGGATAAGGAGCGGCGGATTTGGAATAGTATCTAAGGAAGTTAAGAGTCGACGGCGTTGGTTCGGCTCTTAAAACAGATCTCGCGCTCTGTATCAGTCGCATCCACGCCATTATCGGAGCTTTTTCCTCAACACTTGGGGAGAAGGCTTTGGGTTTTGAGTCTCTCTGATGGAGTTCCTTAGTACGACGTCGTTTTCTGAAATAAGTTCACCGTTTGTATATTAAAAGGCTAGGCCCATTACATCTTTGGCCCATTATTTAAAATCAATTTTTTTTTAAGTCACGGATTTAACAAAGTTTTGTGCTATATGAATTTGGTGAGCCTTTGGATTTTATAGACTATGGTGGAAAACCAGCTTTTGTTTATCATATGCAATTATGGGTCATGGAAGATGTTGGGAAGTGGTCGAGGAAATCTCTGGGTATGCAGTCTTGTCATATGCAATTAGTTTGTAACTACATTGATTGGACCGCGGAAGTTACAACTCAAAACAGCGAATGACTTGAGAAAGGTTCAAATCAGAGAAACAGAGCACGTACACATGTTTAGTACATCGTGGTATGATTTCACTCTTATGGATAGTATAAGACTATAAGAGCACGTAAACAAAACAGCGAGGTATGATTTTTCGAACATAAAATCTTCCCAACATAACATAATCTTTGTTTAAAAGAAACCAAAACTAAAACACAAATGATCACAACTCTCGAGTGAGCATCACGCGCCTCTTTTGAAAAACACTAACATAAATTTCTCCGCCATTGCGTCACTAGAGCACACGGTGGCGCAGCTAAAAATTAGAACAAAAAAAAAACAATCCAAAACTTTCACAAAAAAAAAAAAAAACTAGACGGTGCAGCCACAGAAGAGGAAGAAGAAACAGAGCATGGAGACCAACGCCACGGACTCGAACGCAGTCACTACTTTCCAGACAACGTCGTCGACCACCATAGACAATAAACTCAGCTCTGGTCGACGCCAACTCAGCCACCTTGGTGCAGATCCAGATGAAGTGAAATTGATCGGCCACCACCAGCGGATAGATGAAGGCATTGAAGTGGATTATAGTGTGTGTGTGGAGATTCTACTAGTGCGAATTTGTGTAGCTAATTGTGGAAAAAAGGTAAGCTTTTATGGCGGAAATGATGGGTATGACGATTAATATGGTCCATGCGAGTTTACAGATGTGTTTTGATGTGTTGGATGTTTTTAAATTTAACGGTGATGATTTAATTTAGTCATGTTACATTTTCGAGATGTGCAGCTGTGATTGGATATATTGGGATCTGTTTTTGGTTCCTTTTGTATATTTTTTTTTTAAGAAAAGGAGAATGAATAGTTGTTTCCTCCATCATTGTGGTCAATGTGGCAGGTTGAAATATTTTTAAAATTTTTTTAACCAAGTTGGGTTAAAAATAAATAAAAAATAGTCGTCATTTTAAGAAACCCTCAAATTACAAGGAAAATGAGATTACCCTCGAAATAAAAAAACAGTAAAACAACCTTCAATCTTTTTTAAAAAACGACAACAAAAACCTCGTTTTATTGAAATTTGGACTGTGTTTTTTTTTTTTATTGTACCTCAAATTTCACATTTAGGCCATTCTTGAAGCATACTTAATTCCAAAGCTGCACTGTTTATGTGGAAAAGCAAGAGACTTCTTATTTAAGAAACAATTCTGTTTAATATCAAAGCTGCATCGTTTATGCTATAGCAACCTTAAAACTGTTGCATTACAATTTTTTAAATTGATGAACCAACTTAAGGAAGCAAAGATAAATATGAGAACAAAGGGAAAAAGGTGACAACACTGGAGTGCCATTTTCGAGTTCAACTTTAGTTTCCGAGATACTTTTAGAACATCGACCACGCCTCTGGTCCAGGACGCAGACAAGATCACTGCAAAAAGTTGCATAGTCGCTCCATAATGAGTTCCCTCAAATATTTCAGAGAATAAGCTTATGTATAACTAAGTGTTTTAGGTACCTAAAGCATCTCGGAGATGTGGAATCGTGTCAATCCATTTGATTGAAACTACTCCTTGTATCTCATCGTCTCTTTCTCGAACCCAATTGTTGGGAATTGCTTCGCATATTCTTCTACCATCTCACGAAGCTCTGCCATCTCTGACTGTAATTTCTCATTTGATTGCATTGTTGCTACAAAGTCCTTCAACTTTGTTCCTGAAGTACATTATAGATCCATCAATACAATCCCAAGCATGACAGAAAATAATAAACCCAACCAAACGACTTTTTATATACCTTGAGACTCTGCCTTGATCTTTAAGGCTATCTTGACGGCTAAATCAAAATACTCCGCCACTTTTGCAAAATCTTCCTCAATGAATCCTCTTGATGTGAGGGCTGGTGTTCCTGTAACCATACCATCATCATAAGAACAATCGGAACATATACAATTTTCTTGGCGGTCAACAGGTGTCTATGAAATAGCATAAAAGTCCTTTCCATTAAGTAGTAGATTGCAAGAAGCATGAACATTTACTACTTTTCGACATACTAACACTTTACTTCTCTCAGTGTTCCTTTTTGTTCAAAAATAGTATTAACGTATTTTTTGTTCAAAAGTAGTAAATTGCAAGAAGCATGTATGTTTACTCCTTTTTCGACATACTAACACATTACTTCTTTCAATGTTCCTTTAAGAGCCTTACCCATACGGATGCCACCTGGAACCATGGCAGAAACATCGCCCGGAACAGTATTCTTGTTTGCTGCAATATGTACTGATTCTAATACTTTTTCCACTCTTGATCCATCTATTCCCTACAAAACCATATTTCCAACATTATAGATGTTACCAAGAAAATTAGCTACACTATGCACTGCTTACTGAGGTTCACAGAACCAAAATCAAATATATAAACTTGATTTGCTACATCTGGTCAGTAAAAAATGAAATCACACAACAGATATGGGAACAATAATCATTGTTTTAGTTTTAGCATACTAAAATCATATATCAGGGATTAAGCTATGTTCTCTATTAACGATGAGATTCACCCTTTTCTTATGCAAACTCATACGCACAAAGCAAACCTTTCCATCTAGACATCTAAGGGGTTGTGCAGTAAAAGATAGAATGAGAAGTACCTTGTTTTTCAGATTCACCAAAACTAAATGATTCTCAGTGCCTCCAGACACTAAATCATATCCTTTCGCAAGCAAAGACTGCAATTACAAGCATTTTACGAAAAAAGTGAGATGATTACAGTAGGTCTTATACCCAGCTGTTCCAAACATGCCACGTTATCTTAGGCATATCAACTAATTACTAAACTAAGCATACAAAAATCAGCAAACACATCGCACCTCAGCAAACTTTGAGCAATTACGGAGAACTTGATCCTGGTAGGCCTTATACTCAGGTGTTCTCGCCTATAATAAAGTAAATCAACAAGTCAAAAGATCATTAACAAGACCAAAAGAATCCTAGATTATACCCTAATCAGAAAGTGGAAGCAGTTCATGGGTACACATTAGACAATGGAACACAATTTAAAAAAAAACGTTTGATGACTGAACCTGCTTCAGAGCAACTGCTAGACCCGTTATAGTGTGATTATGTGGACCACCTTGCAGTCCAGGAAAAACAGCTTGATTAATTCTGTCCTCATAGTCATACATGACCTGCCAGGTAGAGATACAAACAACATGATCAAATATTACCAAAATCAGTCGACACTTGCAGGTTATCTACTCATTCATACACAATATGGAAAGTTTGAAATTCACCTCTTTCCCTTGTTTGTTAATCTCTTTTAACCCCTTCCTAAAGAATATCATAGCCCCTCTAGGACCGCGAAGCGATTTGTGAGTTGTAGTTGTAACAACATCTGCATACTCAAAAGGAGAAGGAATAACGCCAGCAGCAACCAACCCACTAATATGAGCCATATCAGCCAGCATAACTGCCTTTTGCTTGTCACAAACCTGCAAATTTTTCATCCACAATCTTGAAAAGCCCAATGCACATTTACTTACCATGCAAGTTTTGTAATTATACTTCACACTAAAGAGTTGAGACAAAATTTTACCTTACGAATACGTGCATAATCATATAGACGAGCATAAGCACTTGCACCCGCAACAATAAGTTTGGGTCTGAAAAGCACGGCACTTTTTTCTAGCTGCAAATAATTATATCACAACTAAATAAACTTTGGTTTCAAAACTGTTAATTACTTCACATAAGAACCGTAAACGAAAAAGCTTGAATGTATTAAACCCGTATCTCAATGGTATATTTGATAAAGATAATCAATGTAAGCTGGCTATTAACTAACCAACCTGATCGTAATCAATGTAACCAGTGTTCTCATCCAATCTGTATGGCATTGTCTCAAAAAAGATGGATACAGCCGATATTTTCTTCGTGTCAGTCTGCACAAGAGCAATTAGAAGGTATGAGAAAAATATACAATATCAATTCCACAAAGAGATGAGAAAAGAAAGTCGAATACTGACCATGCTATAGAGATTAGATTTCAAGTACCTGATAACCATGAGAAAGATGTCCACCATGAGGTAAGTCAAGTGCCATGATTCTTTCATGAGGCTTTAGCAATGCCGTGTAAACTTGGAAATTAGCTGGTGATCCTGATAAAGACTGCACATTGACTACAAAAGGAATAAGTTTCGCCATTAGTAAAGTTGGTTTCTAGTAGGATATGTTTAATCACAATTCACAACTAAAGCATGTAATTTGCATACCTCCCCATTTCGAAGGATCTAACTGAAAAGCTTCTAATGCGCGTTTTTGACATAATGTCTCAGCCATATCAATGTACCTAGTTGATAAGATGCAAATAACCTTAAACTTCATATACTAAAACAACAAAGTGCAAAACCTCTCAAAAACACAAATGTTTAACATACTCATTTCCTCCATAGTATCTAGCTCCAGGATATCCTTCACTATACTTATTAGTCATAACCGAACCAACCGCTTGCATAACCGAGAGAGAGGTGAAATTCTCTGAAGGTATAAGTTCAAATCCCTAAAAAAACTCATAACATCCCCAAAATCAATAAAGCAAAGCTTCCATATTTGTGATATTTGATCATTCAAATCAATAATATACCTTCCATTGCCTAGCTTTCTCTAATTCGATAATATCCGCAACTTCGGGATCGATTTCTTCTAGAGATCCATTCAATTGCT